GAAGGAGGAGGAGTCGGCGGGCGGCACCAAGGGCAGCAGCAAGAAGGCGTCGGCGGCGCAGCTGCGGATCCAGAAGGGTAGGGGCTCGGGGAACGGGGGTCGCGGCCGAGGGTCGGAGGTCGGGCTGGGGCGGCGGCGACGTGGGAGTCAGGGGCAGGTACTGCGGCCGCTGAGGGTCGGAGACGGAGGGGTCGGAGCGCGGGGTCGGAGGTCAGGGCTTAAGGGTTGGGGCGATAGGGAGCCAGGGATGGGTGAAGCAGTCACGAGGAGGGGTCAGAGACAGGGCCCGGAATGTGGGAGCCAAGATCTGTGGCAGGCCTGGCGACTTGTACCAGGGATCCGGAATCCGAGGGTCGGGGGGAGGGGAGCCGGGAACTCGAGAGTTCGGGGATCGGGCCGGAATTTGGGTTTGGGGTTACAGGCCGAGAAGATAGGGATAGTGGGGGCCGGGGACTGGGGATATGAGTGGAAGAGGATTTAGTGTACTACGCTGGGGTCAGTGGGAATCTCAACGTCAGCTGGAGTGGAGTAGGTTGTGGGGCCCGGGACTCACGGGTCTTAGAGGCACAGCAATTTGGGGTTCAGGATGGCAAGTAGAGGAGAGAAGGGCAGTGAATATTAGGGATTGGAGATACGGGTGAGGGGGAATCTAGGCTATTGTGCTGAGAACCTTAGTTGGAGTGAGGTAGGGTGGTGGGCTGGGGACTTCAGAATGTGAGAGTTATATGGGACCCTGGGTTTGGGAAACAGAGAAGAGGAGGGTCAGTGGGGATTGGAGATTGGTGTGAATGAGAGATGATTTAGGTTATGGGAAGGGCAGGATCTGTGAGTTCAAATGGACTGGTATAGATACTGGAGATTGGAGGTCAAGGCTGGGGAGCCTGGGGTTTAGGGTGGTCAGAAGCTGTTGGAGGCCAGGGGTTTTGAGGGCACGTGGGGGTGGGGGCATTTGGTAGCTGGGTTGGGGAACTTAGGGCTGTGGACTCAGAAAAGTTGGAGTTCTAGGCTGGGCACGGTGTCTCACGCCTGTAATCCTAGCACTTTGGGAGGCCTAGGTAAGAGGAGACCAGGGGTTTTGGGTGGCATTTGGGAGCTGGGGTGGGGGACTTAGGGCTGCGGATTCAGAAAAGTTGGGGTTCTAGGTTGGGCATGGTGGCTCACGCCTGTAATCCTAACACTTTTGGAGTCCTAGGTGAGAGAATCATTTGAGGTAAAAATATCTTCAGAAAAGATATTTTCTGGGCTAGGAGCTGGAACATACAGCCACAATTGAACTAATATTTGGGGGTATGCTGTGGATCCACAAGAGCACACCTAGAGACTGGGGAGCAGGGAGAGGGCTGGAGGTATGGAGTGCAGCACAGGGCAGAGACCCAAGGAGTCCAGGAGGAGACCAAGGGAATTCTGATACCTGCCCTGAGTGCTCCCTCTCTCTCTCTTCTCAATTTTTTCCTTTCCCCCCTCTCTGCTGTCCAAACTCAGACATAAACGAGCTGAATCTGCCCAAGACGTGTGATATCAGCTTCTCAGACCCAGACGACCTCCTCAACTTCAAGCTGGTCATTTGTCCTGATGAGGTGAGGGCCTACTTGGCCAGACCCCTAGTAGCAGACCAATGGTGGATCTCCCAAGGAGAGGGAGACCTGGTCTGTCCATCGAGGCCTGCAGGATGGGCCCTAACACCTTCCTCTTCTCTCTCATTCCCTCCCAGGGCTTCTACAAGAGTGGGAAGTTTGTATTCAGTTTTAAGGTGAGTCTCAGGTGGGCAATGGTGGCTCCTTGGACTGAGGAGGCAGCATCTGAGTACCTGCCAGGCACCTACCCATCTCTTCTCTCTTTTCCTGGAGCCAGGTGGGCCAGGGTTACCCACATGACCCCCCCAAGGTGAAGTGTGAGACGATGGTCTATCACCCCAACATTGACCTCGAGGGCAACGTCTGCCTCAACATCCTCAGGTGAGGGCATTGGCCCTCTACGCCCTCCCCAGCCCTGTCTGCCAGGGCCCTCTCATGGCCTTGGGAGCAGTACATCAGTCTCTGTTGCTTCCTGCCTCCTTGTACTCTGTTTCCCTTAACCTCCAAGTTAGTCTGACCTTGGCTTTCCCTGACCTGTTCTGCTTCATGCCCTCCCCTCCTCTCACATCTTCACTCTTCTGTGCCCTGGGCCTGCCTGTTCAGTACCAGCGGGGCCTATGGCAGTCTCGCACTCACCAGCCCATGACCCCGATGCTCTCTGTCCACAGAGAGGACTGGAAGCCAGTCCTTACGATAAACTCCATAATTTATGGCCTGCAGTATCTCTTCTTGGTGAGTAAGATTAGGTGGTTGGGTCTGGGAGGTTGGCCTTCTCCCTCTCTGGCCTATTGACTTCCACCTGTACTGGCCACAGGAGCCCAACCCCGAGGACCCACTGAACAAGGAGGCCGCCGAGGTCCTGCAGAACAACCGGCGGCTGTTTGAGCAGAATGTGCAGCGCTCCATGCGGGGTGGCTACATCGGCTCCACCTACTTCGAGCGCTGCCTGAAATAGGGTTGGCGCCTACCCGCCCCTGCCAGGGCCACCAGCCCCGGCATCCCCTGCAAATATTTATTGGGGGCCACTGGCGGGGGTGTGGGGCAGCCGGTGGGATATCCCCTGCCTTGGCCTTGCCTCTCCTCCCTGCCATCTGCCCCTAGTTATTTTTTTTTTTTTTTTACCACCATGTGATTAAGGTCGGCGCTGCCTCCCCCGACCCACTCAGCAGTGGGAAATGAATTGGCTTGTCTAGCCCCCCTGCTGGGTGCTGTCCAGCTCCTTAGGCTGTGGGGGGGGGGGGGGGG